CAACGCACACGAATATGTCTTCCTTGAAATGTACATGTGTATGTATGTTTAGATGTATATATGTATAACTACACTTATATATCTAGAAGTTGAGTTTCACGTATGTGTTTTAAACGTGTATACATGTGCTAATCACAGGAGCCCGGTTTTACCGCTGATTCTATAGAACCACACGCAAATTTTATCCACCTTTCATAAATAACTGGTGTTAAAAGGTAAAAGGGGCAATTGAATAATGACTATTATAACCCTAATTTATTATGATTTTTTTTATTATTTTTCTCGTTATCATTATTATAATGATTACTATCAATACTATGAAAATAATTCTTATAATTATAATTTTTATTATTATTTTGATAATTATTATTATTTTTATTATTATTACTTCTATTATTATCATAATTATTCCTAATGTTATGATTATTGTTACAATTAGTATTATTATTGTTCTTATAATTTCGTACTTCTATCTGTATATTTAATCCTTAGCTAGCGTTAACTTTGAAAGTAACATATTCTTTTTTTTGCCATCTACCTACTTCTGTGTGACTATACTAAATAAATCTTTGCAGGACCTCCAGAAGCTGTGAAAGAGAAGGAGCTTTCGAGATTAGAAGTGTTTATTTTTACGTCTGTTAGTGCCTCATATAATCGTCTGTAATGCTTTTATCTATAAGTAAATGTCGAGGTGAGGAGCAAGTTCATCTTAGTCGGTTCTGATGGCTCTAAGTCCCTTACAGTTTTCTTTCAACTCCCACCTCATAATTTTGCCATCTGTTGGGTGTGAGGTTTTGAGTACACATGCTTTTTATTTGATTCACATGAGTAATTCTTATTAATTTGTTTCTTAGTAATTACAAATTATGGATTTTGTAATCGGTGCCGACTATCTCGTAAGGCTCTTTGTACTGCTCTTTCTCATTTCCCTAGATGGCTTTTTTAGTATAACCCACGCTCATAAAGAACATTTGTTCTTACTGTATCTGGCACTCTTTCTGTTACCACCGTGAACACTAGATTATCTTAATAATGGAATGGATAATCTTTCGCCCAATGCATTTATTGAGATTGCTGTATATTTGAATTGATCTGTGGTAGGTGTGGTGGTTTTTCGTGAGGTACTGTGTTATGCATACTTTGTATTACATGAGCCTTCAGAGGTTCGATGATTCTTTTTTCTTGGGGCTTGCTTTTTCTGGTTTGCTTTATAATTCTCGTCTGGCCTTATTTAGGATAGCCTCCTCTTAACTTTGATTATTTACTGAGTCTAAGCTACTTAAAGAGTTAGGGGATGGTGGTAGATCTAATGGATGTGTGTCCCTATCTATATCAACACCCCCTTTTACGTAGGTATTTTAACTATGTTTTGTTTGTTTATCTTCTTTTTCTTTTTTCCCGATGGCTTATTTTCCTTAATTTTTAAAATTCATGCCATCCCCTTATTTCTCACTCACTAGAGCTCCCCTCCTATCTGTATTTTGTTCTTTTTTGCTTTTCTTATTCACCACAACGAGTGATCTACAGTCATTACTATAAGGATGCAAGTGTGGAGGGATATACACTTTTTACTGTTATTTATAATAAAACTTTTGAAAACCTCACACTTCATTTCCTTCTTAATGCTCTGTAGATGTAAACAAACATTTTTTCTAAATTTATGAACGAATATAAATATACAGTCCACATAATCACATTTTTTAGCACACTGCAGGATTTTTTTCTATCTCCTTCAGGTCAACACATTTTTTTTTTCTTTGAACACCGTAGTATATCACAAAGCTCCCGTGCGATCAACTGTAAGTTGTAGGAAAAAAATAAGTGACTCAATTTTGTCAGTAACCTGGTATTTCTACCAGAACTGCTTTGTTAGGTCTAGAATTTTATTTGGCTTGATCTAGTTTTGTTCTGTATAAGGTTTGGTTATAAGCTTTATTCTTATAACCGCTTATCATAACTTGCATTGTTTTTTTTTATTTTCTGATGGATTATTATTTATTTGTGGTGACCAGTATTAAGTGTTCTCCTTGCTCAAGCACCTATTCTAATGCCCAGCTTACCTTTAAAATCTCGGTGCTAGCCACCTAGTCCTACTTTTGGCTTAAAGTTATCTATTGAGTCATTACGTATCACTCTGATTTTTTGATTTATTTCGCCCCCTCTGGCCCTTGCCTTTAGATTGAGTTGCCTCTCCTTGACCGTATTCGGTATGTTTATTTTCTGACTGTTATAATCTAAGAATGCACCTTATACGTAAGCTTAGGCGTTTAAGTCATTCTACTCTTTTATTTTATTTATATTCTTGCTTGACATACCTGCGTTTGCACTAATTTTCTCCATGGTGTATGTAGAGGCAAAGATTCCCTCTCTTTCTAATTAAATTCTTAGTCAGACCAGTCTATGCTCACTAGTAACCCCAATGCTTACTTTTACTCCCATGGTTCAATACTGCTGCTGCTAACATTATCCGATTTAAAAAAAAGTAAGTCTATAAGCTTTACATTTCAAATCTCCTCTTACAGATATGAATAGGATTTTGTTCTACTCCCTATCATAGTTACCCTACTATTCCTGTGCTGGAAAAAAAGAATAGATCACATGCATGAAAAGATGTAGGAGTAAAACATAAAAAAACAGAGAGATGATAAACTCTCATACAGTTTTATTTTTATCTTTGTTTAGAAAGATTATACCTAAATGAGTAGGTGAGGCTTGTGCTTGATTCCGTGTTTTGCGGGTTTACTTTCTATACACAGCAAACTTAAGAAAGTTTTACTTGAAACAAAAAATTAGAATCATAACTTATTGTCAAATAAATATATCAAGTCTTGTGGGAGCACGACGAGGTTTGTTTGAGGAAGTAGACGAAGCTTCGTCTACCGCGATACTGTTTACTTCAGATTTGTTTACTTAAATTTTTCAATATCTAAAAATAAGTATTCTAGCTGGTATGACTGATGTGATCTGGTAGAATTCAGTCTTTTTATTTTTATTTCACAACCTTACTGCTAAATATAGGCCAGAAATTCGTCAGAACAAGGACAACAAGACCTGTACATTTAAAAATTCTCAAATTCATTTCCCAAATTTTTTCCAGCTCACGCTGTATGAAATGTGGTCTTATCAATACATAAGCTACTAGCCAACTTTTTTTTGTGTATACTAAGAACAGGAGTGCTGCGCTTGATTTAAGATACTGCTCAATTACTTCTCCCCAGGTGATTATGTGTTCCTTACATGACCTAATCACTAGGATTTTATATAAGTGGGCAACTGGATTGGTGCTGTTTACCGTGGCATGCAGAATTGCAGATATTACTAAAGAACAACGATACCTTAGAAAGGAGAGTGGGTAAATGACTTTCTTGTAGTAAAATCAACGGTAGAATACGTACTTGATGACAAACTTTAAATATGCGTAAAAACTGAGAAATCCTGAGTAGTCAATATCCTATTAGTCTACTCCTTAATTTTGTGCAACTTAAACGTGAATATCCTAATTTAAGTATCAGAACGAAAATCCGTAATGAGTAAATTATGATCAGCACTAAATTATATAATTTTTTAGTAACACTGTTAAGTCATTACTTGTACTGTTTCTATGGTATTTGTGTTTGGTAAACATGCATTAACTGTAGAAAAAGTTTAATTTTTATAATAAATACGATTGGTAAGAACAAATAATAAATAATCAGAAGAAAGTAAAAGTTATTTACTTTAACAATTAGATACTTTCATGAATGTGGTTATCTAACAAAATTTTTTCTAAAATGACTATTTCATTAGAAAAAAAAGCATTGTCCTTCGGTTTTACTGTGTCTCATAATTTATAAAGGCCATATAAAGCAACGTAATTTGGAGCTAAAGGAAAAAAATTAGATGACATATGATTAAAACATAACCTCATTTCTAATTTTTTTAATCGGATGTTATCAGTTATAGACAAAATCGAGAAACTTACGGATTTACGTATTTGTAACAAAACGGGTACTTACAATTAATCGTGTAACACTGCAGTAATAGTATCAACATAATCTGATTAATAAGATAGGAAATTCTAATTCTTTCTCGGAGTGCCATAAATAACAAGCAGTTAATCTAAGCCTCACGTAATTCAGGGATTTGTAGAAGTAATAACCGTACGTTGAAAATTAATTTCTTTTGTAACGGTAAAATAAGGACTCATTTAATAAAAACCAGTTTTCAAGTTACTTGTTCATTGCCTCTACGGTTTTCGTACATATATTCATAATAAGTAACTTTTTATTTTAAGAATTACTTACTTATCAAATATCTGTAATTTAGAATAATTGAATTCCATCCATGCATAAAAAATATAATGATAAGAGCTAGTTAAATAAATAAGACTTTTAAAACTTTTTATGCGTATAATTACTAAGTATTTTAAATAAAAAGCTGGAAGAAGTCAATTAATTCATGTAATTAGCTCGAAGAAAAAGTTGCTAAGAATAAAACGATGAAGTAGTTTGATAAACGAAAGAAGCAGAAAAATGCATCATGGATCAAAAGCCTTAAACAGTTTTCTTAGGAAATCTGTTTTGTTTGGTAAATTTATAAACTATTTATACAAATGAGCCTCTGCACACATTTATATATTCAAAACATATGAAACTCGTTGAGTAGCAATTTACACGGATCAACGAGATCACCCTGGCTATGATGTACAGACTTTGTTCTTATTGAGTACTATTTTGTATAAACCGAATCTAATGTAATTAAGTTTTTTGAAATAAAAATCGAAAAAATGGTATTTTCTTAGAAAGCTATAACATTTATATAAAAATTTGCTTTGATAAAACAAAATGATCAAGTAAGCTTAATACAATGAGTTAATTATTAAGGCTTACTTTAATTATTAGGGCTTTACAAATTCGTGACAAAATAATAATTTAACATATCCAACTTACCTTACTCCTTTATCTTTTAAAAAAGTATTTTTAAAGAGATTTATATTAACAATAAACTCTTACTTTCCATACCTTATGAGTTTCGAGAGTATCAATAAATTTCTCAGGATCTTTAGTAAGCTGCCGTGGTATTACAATTAATTTTCGCCCTTGAAGTAGAGGACCCCAAATTTCACATATACTATCAACAAACGTGAAAGCCGTTTTAAAAACAAAATTTTCTTCATTATAACTATAAGGAAATTTTCGCCACTGCCATCTTAGTCGATTCATGATTGCTGAATGTGGTATGCAGACACCTTGTTAATTGAAAAGAAAATTGTTTCAATAATAAGCCATAACTTCATTTTACTTTTCTAATACTTAGTAACAAGAAACCTTTTATTAATTAGCGAGTTAAGTATGAATGTATACAAATAATCAATGAGCAAGAGGTATGGGAGAACTTTTATTGGAACATAACTCATTTAACAGAAACCCTCATAAAACTGTGTATAAAGTATTCTTTTATCAGAAATGTAAATTTTATATTCTTTAATCTATGAATGAACTATGTACTAATTAACAAAGCCAGTAAAGTGATGAAAAAGTCTGAAATTGCCTGCTTACTTTTGCTCAAGGTGGCACCAAGGAAAATAAGCACTATGTGGCCATGGCAGTAACAAAGTTTTACGTATAACGTGTAATGTGTAGGTTATACCAGCAAGGAAGTTGTTATTGTACTTGATTGAAAAACTTGTCTTCAGTTCAATGTATACACATAAAATAAACAGAACAAAAAAATTATAAATGTATTACGATTCATATTAATTTTTGTTTTGACGCGTACAGTTTTAAAGATGTTTAAAGACTATGCAATAGTTATGACTTAATTATTTATGACATTTTTTTACAGGGCCATTTAATATGTCATAAGTTCTTTCGAAACATATCAAAATGAAAACTTTTACAGATAGCAGAACATGTCTCCTCGATGTGACTTGCTATTTTCGGCAATTAACTAGACGTGTCTGTCAGATGAGTGTGCATTGTCAAGCCACCTCGCATGGCTGACGTCTTTTCCACTAATACTTCTTTACTCTATAATAACTGATTTATCACTACTCATAAGCATATACAGTATATCGTAATCTTAATTTCTAATGGTTCTATCACGAAAAAGCGATGGCTTGTAGGGAGTAGCCATATGAGATAAGAGCGCAGCCGTATTAGGATCAACGAATAGGCTGATGTGATTAGCTAATGTTATTGCATATTTATAAGAGCTAGGGCTATAATTAGCAGAAAAGAGTGCACTTTTTTATAAAAGGGTGGTGGCTAATTAAAGGCGCAGCCATGTAGGATCAGAGTATGAACTTTTAAGAACACATATGATGTTACATACCAATGATTGTTAATAACATGCATTTTTCGTGATACAAGGCTGAAAACAAATCTTTGTGCTTTGAATTAATACATACATAATGTGCTTATAAGACTTGCCTTGGTACTATATAAGTTATACGGCTTTCTTATTAAAACAAGTATAAAATTATAGCTCAGTTGTGTAAGCTTACTTGTAAATAATGCAACGACGAAAAACATTCAATACTGAACTTTACACGAACTTTCATACAAAAAATATGAATACTGGAATCTATCATCAATTACATCGTTGATACAACAATAATTCTATGTTTAGTGAGCTTTGATTCAGCGTTCAATCAGTGCTAACTAAAGTCAATATAAGTAGTTAAGTTCGAAATAATGCTTATTTTATGTAAGCATTGCATTATAAAGATCAGCAGCATGCATTAACTACTGCTTTCTACTATGGTAGATATCTTGTTTAAAATTTTATTGGTTAGTCCATATTAAAATATTCACACAGTAATGCTCAACAATCCATAAGGATAACAATAATTTTTATGTTCATAGTTATATTAAATTTTCTTTAGTCAAAATTACACCTAGCTAGAATGATCGTCGTCTACAAAAAAATCAGCAGTCTTGTCGTTTTTGTAGTCTAGAGAAAGACCATCACAGTACAAGTAGCTCATAATGTCAATAAGCCAAGCCAACCGCACATCAAAGCTTTAAGGAAGCGTAAATGCTAAAGTGTTGTGAGCATGAATCTTCTTCATGCTTAGGCAAGCTGTGAAACCTCTTCGGGACAAACCTTAAAGTCTGCTTGCGCATCAATTTAGCAGATGTTAGACGTGATTAGTATCAGTGAAAAGTATTCTTTACATAAGTGCACCCTTATTAACTTTTTTCTAGCAATTATACTTATAAAACCATATGTATACTTCCTATTATTAAAGTAGAGTTCGTTGCTATAAGAAAAGACGTAAAAGATAATTTCTGTCAATAACGTTGATAACTTGATTGAGTTTGTGTAAATATAAGGTTAAAAGACATTAGGGTAATAAATTATTATGTAACAGTTAAAATGACTTTGAATATTCAGTAACGCTAGAGAATAGAATTCCATGCATTGATTGTAGAGATTTTTTGTTTTTATTCAAGCTCCATGCATAGTAGTGCATCATGAATCGTACTATTAGTAAAAATGCAATTCATCCGTAAAATTCATACAAGATGTATTATATATATATGTATCTTATAGAGTTAGCTCAGACAACAAATAAAGTTCATACGTAACTTATATGCGTGTGTGCAAGCATTAGCTTCAAGGTAAATGTTTTACAATATGCTGACATATAATACGGCCAGCCTCGTCAAAAGAATGCAAAGAATGCAATTAAAATTGTACGTAATATATATGAATGCATAAATCGTATTGTGAGTATGAATGACTAGTTGACTTGCACATTAATTGCTCATTTTTTTATGATTACAAATTTAAAAGTTGTGATTAACAGATGATTTCATAATACTCGAAATTGATTATAAAATTTCCCAAAGGATCAATTGCAAAATTTGTAAACTAACTGCTACACTTTCACTTGTATTTGGCGTTCTTTTATTGCTGATGCGAGCTTTCACCATCAGTGATCCCAAAAAAACGCAATCGTCCTTGTCAGAAAATAGAATTAGTACTATTGTATGGTTATTTCCTAATATATGAGATCATAATATGTAACATCATCGTGCAAGCCTACCGTTTAGCTGTCAATGCTGTCAGCAAGAACATTGCTCATTGAATTACTTAATTCAACCAAAGGCCTCTTTTACTCACTATGACGCTATAAAACTTACCATTTTACGTCTGTCACCTATCCTCTAAAGTCATAGTCTACTCTTGACTTCCGTGATTCACGAGCACCTTATACACGTAAGGCATAACGTGTTGGCTGAGGTAACTCTGGTGCAGTTCGAGAGCATCAATTGTATCAGATTACGCTAAGGAGTGGGGTACAATGAAAGAGGCCCACTGAGAGTGGTTCCAGCGATAGCAGAATAAGCAGAAACCACAACATCTTACTAGCCACGAACTCATTCGTATAGTTTAAGAAATCACTGAAAATAATTGCACGAAGCATAAGAGAATTCCGAATCAGCGGTAACATTAATCAGTGATAGATGTAAATTTTTCATTAGTAATATAATTACCATCGGAATATTGTTAAGGTACTCTGAATTTATTGTATTTAAAAGAATAACAGTTTTAAATTATTTTAATCAAAGAATTAAAAGTTAAACATTAATTAAAATTATCTACATTATTTAAATAAACATTCTTACTTAACTGGAAAGAACAAATAAAAATGATGTTCCTAATCCTAAGGTACCAACTAATGATACTAGAATAAAATGGTTGAGACCATTCTCTCAACAAGTTTGGTCGTAACAAATTGGCATGCCTTAGGTGTTTTTAAATCTTAGTTTTATTAAACAAAATAAAAAGAAAAAAAATTGAATTGAATTATATGTGAATAAATAAGTAAGAAATGAATAAATAAAAATTCCCAGGAAAAGTGACAACAACTTGTCAGTGGACTACTCTCTTGTACAACAATTTTAAAATGGCTTACAAGGAATGAGTGTGACTAATTTATTATCATTATATGTGCATGAATCAAGCATCTTAACACAAACCTTTTTATGACAGATACTTGACTCTCTCAAAAGGCTTTGTACAAGACAGAGAAAATGGACAAACTCTAATAACAGCTACTCAAGAACCCACGTACCTGTGCACAGTTACTTCTTGACTTAAAGGCAAAGCTCTAGAGAGTTTGACAGGTTCTACATTTGCTTCAATTGATTAAAAAATTTTTACTACAAACGTTTATTAACAGTTTACCTGACTCATGGAGATTAGGTATAGCACTTTCGAAACCTAGAGATATTGTCGAGTATGGTCAAACAATTATATATCCCACACTTAGCTATGCACCACAACGTCAATTGAGTACTCTGCTACCAAGCTGTATACCACCAACACCCTGAATTAGTCAACCTTATAATCTCTCTTACCCTCCAAGTTTTCAAGAGTTTCCATTTTTCAACCACCACTTTTTTATTTACCCAACTACCTACAAATAGATTATCCATGTTCACATACTCAGGCTATATTTACTATCAACTAGCTTAAATAGAAAACTTCAACTAACAACTATTTCAACATTATAATCAAGAACGGTACTGAGACTCTCACCCTAAGTCTCTGAAAAACGAGAATGAGACTCGCCATTTAGATGCTACTGGAAGTTTAAATATTATACATGTCTGAAAATAACAATGACTGTGAAACTTACAGAGCCTGCCAAGCCAGAACAGTAGAAAATTTTCCAACAGTCAAAATGTATTCTGAGACATTTTGAAAAGATTCAGAAATCCTTCTATAAAATTAACGTTTAGAAGTTGATGTTGTGAGTTATAACGTATTAAAAAATGGCACAAAAATTGATTGTGATAATACAATTAAAATAGGAGGAATAGCTCTATAGTAAATACAAACTCCCAGTACTGTTACGGTAAATTTATTCCATACAGATCACTTACTTTACGTTATAAGCCAAAAATTTCCAGTGAATAATGTATGTAAATTATAAGATCAATTCCTTACACAAGAAAACGCCAGTATTTATTATGGATTAATTGCATTGATAGTAGGAAGTAGGATAATTAAACCAATATCTTTTGTATACTACGTTAATTAAATAAGCTCTATAAAAACTAATTAAAAAACAAAAACAACCATTAAAACTAAGAACTAAACAAAGTTTTAAATTAACTTTAAAAATTTTTTTTTTTCCATTTGACGTCAAAATTTAAATACCCACACCCCCACGCAATACAATTTATTCTAATTCTCAAGGGTTTTAAGTAAATAAAAAAGCAAAGCTAC